GGTAACAATGTCTTATAATCAATTTCTTTGTACGTTACCAAGTGACGGGACAAACAAGTCGTGCACCTGGTGGTAAGCGACAAGGCTGTACCTACATAGCAGTTGCAAATTGCAATGCCACTCAAAGCCTTAAATCGCAAATATCTGAGGGGCACTACAATTGCGCCCTTCACTTTGAAACCTAAGTTGACAAGTCTCGTGTGCCTGTAATTTCACCAGCACTCTTAACCCTTCAAAACTGGAACGCAGTAATGCCGACATTACCGCTTGTGCGGCAGAAATACCTATTTCAATGGACGAACTCTATCACAACGAGCTCTAGTGCTACTAAAATGTGAAAAACTAGTGAGGAATCTCGATACCGTTTGTAATCGAGACTTGAGGTCGCTACTACAGAGGAAAAATAACCCAAAAATCATAGGCGTTAGGGCTTTCAGTTTCGCCGTATTTCACATCCCGGTAAAAAATATCGAGACTCGGTGCGTTTTCGAAAATCTCGGGAAAAACAACTTTCGAGACCGTCTCAAATGTATGTTTTCGTATTTATGTCCTAAGAATTTAGACAGTCAAAACAGATTATTTCATTTAACATCGTTATTAACTCAAATTATAAACTTCGACTGTATTTTTTTTTGTATGTATATTACGCGATAACTCCGGAATTTGTGAACCGATTTTGATGATTCTTTTTTTGGTGGAAAGAGGGTACCTAAGTAGTGGTCTCATTTAAATATGAAGAAAATTCCACCTCTAAGGGTGGCAAACTAGGGGATGAATCCAGTGTTGTGCACTTTCCGGTAACCGATTTTATTAAAACTTGGCAAATAGATGTCATTCCACGAACTTTTGAGGTCGGTTTTTTTAGTAGTCTGAACTACTCTGTACTGAGATTTTTAATTTTATAGTGGATAGTAAGAAACAAAGAGCTTTTAATTCAGTTTCAGATAGAGAAAATTTTGTTACTACCGTTCTTCAATCTCCACAGATTATACTAAAGTCCGCTGTACTATGTTGTCAAGTCCATAAAACCAGAATAAAAAAAATACAGTTAGTAGATTTTTTAAGCTTTTTGATTGAGTGACTTATGTGTGAAAAGTCTCGATGTTCCCAAGACTGAAAACCTCAATCTCGTGTTTCGAAAATGCAAAAAAATAGATCAGACTCTCGAAATTTTCGAGGCCGAGGTTCCCGGGATGAAAGCCCTAATAGGTGTGCTCCAAACTTAACTATAGGTCCCTAATATAGACGATACACTATCCCTACATTCAAAGAAAATTATTATGTGCAAGTCTCGAGCAAGTCGTAAGAGTCGCTGACCACATAAAAAATAACTAATATTTATATTCTTTGGTTAAAACCACTTCCACAAGTTTAGTGCTAGTTTATGATTAAATTTAATAGTGCTAGTGACACTCAACAAAAATATCACATTTATAATAAAAGTACTTCGCCTTAATAGATAATAAGAAAATTGCCAGTGTGGGTGAATTCTATGGTTTACTTTGTTTACTTATTAG